ACAGGGCGCTGTGCTGAGACACATGTCCCAAGGCCAGGATAGCTGGCTCAAGCCCAGTCAGCCCCCGGCAGGTAGTGACAGCTCCAGGTTGGCTGTGCTGCTGTGGAGCTGTGACAATAGACTCTCATCTCCTCTAGTTGCTCTGAAGCCCCGCCTTTTGTGCACAGCTCTCTAGGCTTTCCTGGGAGCGAGGGCTGCCGGCTGGCGTTAATGGCCCCCGGCTTTGCCTCAGGCCATCAGCTCCTCCTAGGCAGCCATCAATTCCCTAGAAAGTGCCTGGCACCACTGGAATCATTACTACTTAATTCAGTTGCACTATCTTTCTGAAATTTTAGCTGTCACAGTTGCTGGCCTGTCTTTGTCGAAGGAAGCTCTTTGTGTTCTGTGTCCTTTGTTTTGCACAGGGCTCCACGTGGGCAAGGCGAGCATTTCTGAGTCTGTCCTCTCAGAGTTCTCCTTCTTGAGGAGGGTGGGATGTTTTTCTTGAGGGTGTGTACATGTTGATCGTGGGGTAAGCTTGGCAGAGGCTGGGAACCAGGCTTTCAGGTTGGAGGGGTTTGTTGGCCTCTGCATTTGCTTTCCCCCAGGTTTCACTGCATATTGCTGACCCCTATTTCTTATGCAGATGGGAGTGAATGCCAGGCTGGCAAAGTCGAGGCTTGTGACTTGCCCTCTCTCAACACAGCCCTGACGGTGACAGTCCTCAGGGGAGTGACAGCACAGCTGGCTGCTTTTCCTCTTAGCTCTTTCCCTGTATATTTATTTTCTTTTTTTAAAAAAAAAAATATTTTTATATATCTTTATTGATTTCAGAGAGAGGAAAGAGGGAGAGAGAGAGATAGGAACATCAATGATGAGAGAGTCATTGATCGGCTGCAGCCCACAACCCGGGCATGTGCCCTGACCAGGAATCGAACCCCCATCGCCTGGATCCTAGGTCCACACTCAACCGCTGAGCCACGCCCGGCCGGGCTATTTATTTTCTTTCTAACTTGTAAGCTCCAGTGTTGTGTTTGCATTTTGATTAAGGATGGCTTTGTCACAGGGTGCCCCTTTGCCGGCAAGTCTGGTCCTTGGCCAGCCTTGTTAGAATAATCAGATTCCCGGGCCCCATGTCAGATTAACTGACTCTCTATTTCTACCCCCGCTTTTGCCCCCTCCTCCCCATTCCTTTAATGAGATAGGAATTTATTGCCCCGTGTCATGGAAGCATCTTGAGAAGCCCTGTTTTGGGTGAGGCTGGACTCAGCGGCTCTGCAGTATTGCTAGAACCCCATGGCTCTCATTTATATATTTTTCTAGATGGTCTGCTGAATTTAGGGACTCTATTATGTTCTCTCCATCCCTCAAGTTCAGTGTCTAAGACTTACTGCTCAAGAAGCTCTCTGGGATTTGCCCAAATGGACTAAGCCTCTTCTGTTTCAAGAACCGCCCTTGCTGGGCACTCTGAGGCTGTGGGATGTGGGTCTTTTTCTAGGCTGCCGAGTACACACTGGGATCGTGGACAAGGGTGTGAACATACCAGGACTGACTTGCTCCAGCAAAGAGTATAGTCCAGACAGGGAATGGTGGCTATTCTATGGGCGTGATAAGATGTTTGATCATACATAACTCTTTTACTTATCATTAAAGTCTCAGATGAAGGACCAGCTTATGTTTTTACAACACAGGGATCTTAGAAATCTAGTTTCCTAAATTTACAAGTGCTGCAGCAAGAGCCCAGAAAGAGTGACTCACCCAGTGTCACACAGCTCAGAGGTGGTGGAATCAGAGCTGGAACCCTGGCTTCCTGATCCTGCGTCATATGCACATCCATGATTATTTTCTTAGTAAAGCTTATTTTTTAAATAAATATTTTATCTTTCTCATTGACTTAGGTATTGATAGAGCTAAAGTGAAAATCATTTTAATTCCTCCAAAAATTATCTAGAAACATGGAGACAGCATATGTAACTTTTCATTTAGTGGCTAAAATGCAATATTATTAAAATTAATGTCTCAGGATCAGAGTGTTGACAACTGTTGGACACATTTTTTAAAAAAAGTTTGAGGTGTGCTAGTGTATAGTCCCGTCACTGTCCTTCCCCCCTCAATCGTGGGTGACACGTGTCATGCCCATCTCGGAGTGGGCAGAGCTGGTCAGTCCCAGGCCCAGGGAGGCAACAAGACCCACCCTTCCCCCTCCCCACAGCCATCCAGCAGGTCCCAGAGGCTCTTGGCCGATTTGCACAACCCTGGATGACTGGCCCTGACATCAGCTGTGGCATGACTGAGCCACTTGGGGACAGAGCTCTGGTGTCTGGTTAGGACCAGGTATGATGGGGCCGTGTAATGTAGTTGCATCTTAAGAACATGGAGATTGCATGTTTGCCTCTTGAGAGGACTGCAGTAAGCTGAATGTATGGAACTATGTACTGTTATAACACTCAAAGGTGCTGAAGATGCCTTCGATTTTTTGTGTCGCTGTTCTATTAAGTGAAGCCCTGAGTGCTCTCTTTGTGTTTGTAGATCCACATCATAGATTTTGACGACGAAAATAACATCATAAACAAAAATGTCCTCCTCCACCAAGTGGGTGAGATCTGGCACATCAGCGCCAGCCCTGCAGACAAGGGCGTGCTGGCCACCTGCTACAACAAGAGTAAGTACTGTGCTCAGCTTTTTGAGCCCGGCCAGAGAATCACCCTGTGAGGCTGCTGTTGTATCGCTCATGGATTAGGGCATGATTGATAGGATCTGCGATCAGTGAGGGCGCTGCAGATGGGGGAATGAGGAATAGCTTCCCAAGTCCAAGACTTGGGCCTGGAATCCTAGCTGTTCCTAGAACTGTTACCCCTCAGGGTAGGTAGGAGCAATGTCCTGGAACAATGGACGTGGGCTCCTCCCATGTTAATTAGCTTTGCCTCTTTTGAGGCAGCAGGGCTGGCGTCTTTCCTGCTACCTGTGTGAGTGTGATAACAGTGAAAAGGTGAGGGCAGCCAGGACCATTCAGTGCTCTGCTCACCATGCCTCGCACACAGGTGAGTGTGTTCCTGTCTGGTATGCTGCTCCCAGGCTCGCTCGCCGGTCCTGGGGCCTTTCACCTGTGGCCAGTCCAAACATCTGTGACACACGTCTTCCAAGTTCTCCTTTCTCCATCATTGCCAATAACTTGTGTTCAAGTTCTGCCTTCAGGGAAAGATCTCACACCTTCTCTCGTTTTCTGTTGTCACATGGGCCAGAATAGAGCCTTGTGGCTTTTGCTTTTAGTTTCTAAAATGTCTCCTTCACTTGTCCAGGGAGCCAGAATGCACATTAGCATCCTACACTCTTTAGATGCTTGTCACTTGTTCTACCCAATCTTTCCTTTCGTGCCTTGCTTCAAAATACGAACCCGTAGGTATCGTCTCCCTCCTGCCCATCAGTGTGGTCACCAGGACTCCCGTTCCCAGGATCCCAGGATCACACTCTCTGCTTCCGTGGAATTCCGCACGCGTTTCCTTCTACTTCATCCCCACACCCCTTGTTCAAAAAATACTTTTCTTCTTCAGGGCAAAATAATTATTTTCTGAAAAGTCTTTCTGCCTTAGGTTTTCTGTGTTTTATTCTTAGCTTTTAGTTGCCACATCCCATTGACTGGGAGCAGCGTCCTGGGAGCCACCTGACGATCCCTTTCCCCCTCCGCCATCAGTGTCGGGGGAGACGCTGCGGGAGAGGCCAAGAGGCTGTTCCTTTTTCTTCTTTTTTTTTCCCTCCTCACCCGAGAATATTTTTTCCTTTGTTTTTCAGAGAGACTAAAAGGGAGAGAGAGAGAAACATTGATGGGTTGCCTCCCACACGCATCCCAACCAGGGCCAGGACTAAGCCTGCAACCGAGGCACGTGCCCTTGACAGGAATCGAACCTGGGACCCTTCAGAGCGTGGGCCGATGCTCTAGCCAATAAGCCACACTGGTCAGGGCTGTTCCTCTCTGCTTTGTCACCTTTGAGGAAAGTCACTTCTGATGGCCTGGGGCATCTGCCCTCAATCTTCCCATAGCGTATGTGGGATGGAAACATACCTGTGTACTTTTGTGTGTAAGTAGCTATTGTGTTTAATAACTGAGAATGAGCGTTAACTGGTTTATCACGTAAGTGTCCCCTCGTACCTGGTGTGGATGGTCTGTGGGATGTACCCTGACAGCAATGCATTCCATACTCCTTGTGAAGTCTGCCGTCCCTGCACGTGGTGTGGCCGAGGTCCCCACCCACCGCTGGCTGGCATTGCGCCTCTCCTTGCCTTCTGCCTGTGTCCACCCCACCCTCCTTTTAAGAGAAGATGGCTGCCTTCCATGGTTGGAGGTAATAGGAAGATTCTACATGTGCAAATAAGTGTAGATGGTCCTCTTCCAGAAAAGTGACCTTCAGACTCTTCTGACCAGTCTCCCTTTTGACTAACTTGAGGTCAGCGACCTTAATTTCATCTCCAGAATACCTTCCCCTCTACCTGTAACACAGCAGGCATGGAGTGATACCCGCTACCTGCATCACATTCTGTTGGTTAGGAGCAGGCCATCGGTCCTGCGTGAGCTTGAGAGGAGGGGATTGCAAAAGGTGTGACCACTGGGGACATGTGTCTGAGCAGCACCTGCACCCCAGCGAGCCCTGTCCCTCACCTGTGCAGACATAGTTGCCGTTGCTCGGAATTTCGGCCTCCCTCTACCAGGCCTTTTAATGAAAACCAGAATTGCACCTGGCCCTTCTCATCTTCTGGGAATGTTCCTGGGTTCCTGGTCTCATGCTTTCATGTGGGCTGGTCCACGGCTCTGTGCAGGTGTTATCATGGGTCCCCATGCTCATCATGGGTGTGAGCTTGTATGCACTGCAGAGATGCTAGAGTTTCACTGTTATATAAACAGTTCCTTTTTTTTCTGAATTAGAGTGTGCCTGTTCACACCATTATGTCTCTCTGTTCTGTGCTGTGTGCCTGTTGTGTATGCCCACCTGTTGTTCTTTCCATGTGTGTCATGTGTATCTGTTGCATGTGTTTTGTGTGTGTCTGTCTTACCTGTCCGTGTGTGTCTGTCACATGTATATTGTGTGCATGCCTGTCTGTTGTGTGTGTTGTGTGTGCATGTTGTGTGTCTTGCCTGTCGTGTGTGATGTATATTGTGTGTGCTTGTGTATATAATCAGTTATGTGTTTTGTGTGTGTATCTGTTATGTGTCTGTTGTGTGTGCATGTGGTGTGTCTGTTGTGCATATGTGTGTTGTGTATGTCTGTCTGTTGTGTGAGTGCACATGTGGTGGCTGACTGTACCCAGTGGCCCCCTCTTGGGCAGCAGGGGGCACCAGTGTCCTCTCTGCACCTCTTCACTAGTCCTTCCCACAGCTCTTCCCCACCCCCGTGGGCTGTGTCCTTTGCCTGCTGCAGGAAAAGCTTTCCTGCACTTCTCAGGCATTTCTCTAAGTACTGTCACCAACAGGAGGACCTTGCTGGAAAAGCACATGGCAGAATTGGCTCACTCCTGGCCTCTCCCTGAGGTGATGCAGGGGGATGGGCATGCCTACCGTGGTGGTCTGGGTGTCAGTTCCCTAACCCCACACTCCAGGCTCCTCGGGGACTCGCTCAGCCGCAGGCCCCCATGTGACGGGAGCACACTGGACCCCCAGGTGGTGGGCAAGGACTGGCTAGCCGGTCTTTGGATGTCTCCCACATGAGGGTGGGATTCATGCCCCCCCCCTTGTTTGGATCAGTCAGACTGTTGGGAGCACACAGTAACGGGAGGAGCCAGTACCCCCGGGCTTGTGTGAGGACTGTGGAACATGACCCGGGGTGATGTGGGGGCTTACTTCCGCTCCTGGGAAGTGAGTGAGCATGGCCGTGTTCATCCTGCTCCTCGGGCCCCTGCCCTCGTCAGGAACCTGCTGGGGATGTTCCGAGCCCTCTTGGCTCCAGGTGCCACCTTCACGTTCTTTCAGGCTTCATGTGTCACCTGTGGGGTGAGGTGCTGACCTACAGTTTCTGAGACACCTTAGTGCCCTGGGCTGGGTGCTCCTGAAGCAGTGGTCAGAGTAGTGTCTTGTTTAAAGCAGCAGTTTCTGGTTTATCTCTGCGCCACATCAGAAGGAAGCTGCATTTTTTAGTTTAAATGGTTACTTTGTGTCAATAAGCCAAAGGGAGATGTGGGTCTCCCTGGAAAAGAATTTTTTAGGGCCTCTCTTGATGAAACCACAATTCTGAGATGAAATGATTGAGATTCCTTTGGCGAATGGAGGCAGGAGAGGCAAGGAGGAGAATTAGAATCCGTGGAGACACTGCCCAAGGGTCTGCTCGTGACAGGGGAGCCCTTGGCTCCACACAGAGCGCTGCTGTTCTGAGCCGCATGCATGGCTGCCTGTCTGGTTAACACCCCCTCTGTGTTTTCTGTGCAGGTATGGGAGGAGGAACACATTCCTTTTTTCAGGGTATAGGTGCTAGGCTAGGAGAGAGTTGAGCTTTCTTATGATCCAGGTGCCAGCAAATTGCATGTTGAAAGGAAAGAAGTTGGGGAGTTATGGCAAGAGAGCCCTTGGGGAGTTCCTCAGGAGGGCGTGCATGCGTCCATGGCAGTGCCACTCAGCCCATGGTGGCCAGGCCCTTACCCTTTCCTTCATTTTCCTCCCATACCAAGCAAAATATATTTTATATTCCGTTTTGGCACTTAAATATCTTGTGGCGTCTCATTTTCTATGACTGACGAAAATAGAGTTGATGGACCCTTCACTGGAGTAGCTGTGTGCTGAGCAGAGTGGCAACTGAGGATAGTTTTACTGGAGACAGCAGCCCAGAGGGGCCTGCAGTGGGAGGTGTTTGCTGTGTGTGTGCATTTTGCATGCTTTGTGCGTGGTGTGTGTTGTGTGTGCATGCTGTGTATGTTCTCTATGTCCATTCATCCATTGATGGACACTTAGAATGTGTGTCTTGGCTGTCATAAATAATGCTGCAGTGAACATGGGAGTGCAGTACATTATCTAAGATCTTTAGACCCAAATATTTTATGGCTTGGGTGTGTCTCGAGTGTCCTAATTTTGTTGATATTATTTCTCTAGGCACAGAGTTCCATGACTGTCTATGAACATATTGCACCAGGACGTCCTATATTTTCAAGTTGGGATGTAGGGGTTGCAGATGAACTCACATGTGTGTATCTGTACAGGCCCCCTCCTGAGTGTGGATTCCCAGGTAGGGGACCGAGGTACACCATGTTACCAGAATCTGTGTTGGATTCTGGGTTTTGAATAGTAGGTAAGGAGAATTCTGATTGCCAGGGGTCTACCTGAGCATTGCTGAATCCCTTAGGTTCCTCATTTGGATATGAGAGCTTGACTAGAGAGAGCTGAGACAAGGGACCCCTGCATTGCTCTTATACAGTCACCTGGTAGAAATCAGATGGAGGTCCAGAATGTAGGAAAGTTCCTAATTAGCTTTTTTTTTTTTTTGGATACACTCCTGACTAACCTCTTTGGATCCCATCTGCGTCGTTTCTCTGTCCTCATTGACTTTCTGTGGCACCTCCAAATTTAGTATCATCTGGAAATTTAATTAATGTGCTGTTTACTGCTCCTTCCAGATCACTAATGAAGATGTTAAATAAGACCCGATCCCCAGAGCACCCCAGTGGACACCTCCTCACAGCTTAATG